TAGATCGACTAATCTGTCTGTTATTAACATGTGGGTTCATGTTGGTCAAGCGTTTCCTCCCCGAAAATATTCGAGATATTCGAGATATTATTGGAAGGGCACAGTTGCAAACCACTGATCTTAAGTCAACAAAAGGTTGAACTGGTGACTTAGTGGTTAAGGAAGCGGACTTGTGTCCGGAAGGTTCACTTTGGTGATGGGTTACAATGACAATAAAGACTATAATTAAACATGAAATGTGCCCAAAAAAAGCACTGAAACCATGTTTGTATTTTCAACATACAGAGACAAGAAACAACATGGAGTGATCTCTACGTAAAGAACACAGACGGGACTATCTCACTGCAGTGAAAGAAGCTCAGGTCACTGACTGGTCAACGATAAGGTACAGTTTGTATTTATTTTTTACGGACTTTATCTACGAATTCATGTCAGCCTTATCATTTTATTTCCCCATGTTCATTTGCCACACCTTGAAAACATGCCTGTGAAGTCACTGTGTCTATGCACCTTTGACAACTGTAGAAAGCAAAACTTAGGGAATATAGAATAAATGTACGTATATATTACGTATGAACATAAACTTAATTTCAAGCCAAAAAAAAAATCAAGATCCTTGGATCAGTACATCTGAAGTCACAAAATTCAAATGTAAACTGTACTTTCAGTCAATAACCCTCTGCTTCCACAAGCTCACTTTCAAATTATTACTATAATTATTGTAATTATTTTTCTGTATCTATTCCATGTTATTATATTAAAGAGGTTCTGCACATTACCTTACTGCCTTGAACGCTCCCAGAGTGTCCTATTCCAGTCACATTCAAACGAGGTAAACAAAGTAACTGTGCATCTACTGTTCACTTCTACCAGGAAATATTCAAATGAGCCACGTACGACTGCTCTCTTGACAATAGAGCCTTTTGCACGTTATGTAAGTTTAATTGAAACACACGTCCATGTCACCAGACATTTATTTTGAATTTGTAAAAAAAAAATAAATAAAACCCTCTACCTGCAGTTAATCACATGTACTACACAGACATCCTGCCAATATGTACACATTATATCGCTTGTATTATGACCATAGAGCAATTTTGTAGGTGAAATTATTCACTTATAAAATTATTCATATAAGTTGGAAAAAGTCGGAGCAACAGAACGAGGGCGACTGGAATCGTCGTTGTCGTCACTTTTTCCTCAGCCTCTTCATGAAAGTCACTTCGTCTCTGTTCCTTATTCCGTAGCTGAAAATGTAAAAAACAAAATATATATTTAATACATGGTAAATAAGAAGATAATAACTAGTTCATGACCAAATTGAAATACTATTGAGAACCTGATAATGTATATTTTTATCTGTACAAATGACTGTATGAGTTGCTGCCACCTAGTGACTGGAGGCTTGTTATCATTCAAGCATTACAGCAGTGGTGCACTTATGTCCAGCGTGCCACATTCCATTGGATGCCTTCCACGGCACCTTACCGCACCCCGTAAAAGAGTTCATACACTTACTCTTTCAGCCTAGTCTTGTCATCTTCAAGCCTTTCTCCTTGAAATGCAAGAATGTACGTTCTCCACACATATTTCCTGTTAAATAAAAACAAACAGGTTTGAACAACTTTATCAAATTGATTATATTGTCATCGAGAGTTTCGCTGTTTTACATTTTCTGGTTTTTCAACCATTTTGAAATTGGAGTAAAAGTCGCATTTTAATGGCACCTGTTCAAGAGTTTCCTAAAAACTGAAAACACTGTAAACTAAAATTTGAAATTCAGTCTCTAGTTGTGATAAAGAAAAAGGCTGGTGGTAAAGATATCCCTGAGAATTGTACAAAGAAATAATTCTCTTGGTTGAAAAACTGCTGTTGGAAATATTTAAACCTAAACTGAGGATGTTAAAGATCAAGTAGCTGGCCTGAAAAAAACCCCAAAACAAAACACATAACATAGCATTAAAAAATAGTTTTCATGTTCAAATGATGTGTATTTACCAGCTGATGGGCCTCACTCCTCCTTCACGTTGCTGTTTCAGTTCAATAAATCTACTAATGGCCTTCTTCAGGTCAAGGACAGATGCATTTTGCACCACCACTATGGCTGGGACAGACAGAGATTTCTAATATTAAAAATAATGTATATACAGCACATACAATAAGTCTCTCACTAAGGGTTGTTCTAGAATGCTGGGACATATTTGCTAATAATAAATATGTACACACAATGGCCACACTTACGCATCACTTCATTGTCCCCCTTCACCACCCTGACTGTCATCGCCTGTCCATACTCCAGAGCTATTTGAGAATTGACCTCTTCCAAAGTCACCTGAAAAACAAAAGCGTTTTAGTACAAACCGGAAAATATAAATCTGTGTGTCAATATGTCTCAATTTAAATACGATGTATTGTGCTTGTAAAGCCTGTTTACTTGAATTGGTAGGTCACAGAGTAAAGGGTCCTGCACAATTTGAGCGAGCCCTTCCTCAAAGATATCCAGGATTTCAGAGTGAGGAAGGGTCTCCTCGTCTTCCTCCTCGGCCTCATCTCTGTAATCATGCTCATCAAACTCCTCTTTCTCCTCCTTCACAGACGGAGCTCCTTCTTCCGCAGCAGCAGCAGAAATTGCAGAAATGTTTTGACCCTGCTCCTCCATATCCACTAACTACGAGTGGTTTGCTTCTACAATCGTTATATTTGCATATGTTGGTTTCATTTTAAAATACGGAGAAAAAACTGGAGGTTAATGTTTAAAAATATCACAATCTACTTGGCTTTACTTTAAAACAACAATAAAATAAATACGTTGCACACAAAATTATTGTGAAAACCAAAAACAGGGCAGTATAAACCTTGTCCCACGCTATTTGTTTTCCGACAAGAAAGCGTTGCTCTGCACGAGTGATTACAACGCTAATATTACTATAACTAATAACTTATAAGTGATTAAAATTATTGTTGGTTTCATTGTTTTTAAAAATAACATTTTTGAGTGTTAATATAACACCAGTAGTATATTTTTAAACCCAACTACACATTTCTATTCTATACAATTTGTTTCCAGTCGAGCTGTATAAGGACAAACTCCCGTCACTTCCGGTACCCGTCACGTTTCTAAAGAGCCGAAAGCTTAAACCTGTTTGCTGTCTTTGTAAAATTCCGCATATGTTATATATTGTATGCATAAAAAATATATTTAAGTACAACGAGATATATATACACGTCTCGGATAAAAATGCTTCTTTTCTGTCCAACGTGTGGAAACGTGTTAATTGTGGAGGAAGGACAAAAGTGCATGAGGTTCGCCTGTAACACTTGTCCGTATGTGCACAACATCACGAGAAAGGTAAGAACAAATAGTGTTTTTACCAATTTACATTAGAAGTGGAGAGATTGTAACCACTTTGTTTGTTTTATGTTCCCGCCTCCAGGTAAATAACAGAAAATATCCCAAGTTAAAAGAAGTGGATGATGTTCTTGGTGGCGCAGCAGCTTGGGAAAATGTGGATTCGACGGCAGGTAAGTGACGTTAAACTGCATTAATGTTTTGTTTTTTTCTTTGCCTGGAACACTGTGACCTTTTATTATTCTTACATTCTTATAAATAAGTAAACTTCCAAATAAATTTAAGTATAATAAGCATAGTTTACATCTGCACTTACATTTACCAGCTACTGTTATTTAGATGGTTGCTACCTTAATGTCCACTTTGGTATAAACACATTGTTTTCACCCACAAGTTGTACAGTGTGCTGTGTTAATAAAATGTTACCAAATGTTTTTAAATACCTCTATCATTTCTTTTAAAGCACTAGTGGAGTTCTAATGACTTTTAATTCGGATTAGCACAGGGTTCAAATGATTAGTCAGGGAAATACATTTAATAACAAAACAATATTCAATGACCCCCTAAAGATAGGTGATGTACAAGACTTTCTTGTGTGAATGTCAAAACCCATAACGTATTTGTGCTTTAACTTTTTGTCTTTATTTGTTATTGTAGAAACTTGTCCCAAATGTGAGCATCCTCGGGCATATTTCATGCAGATTCAGACCAGATCGGCCGATGAACCCATGACCACCTTCTACAAATGCTGTAACGCCCAGTGCGGTCACCGCTGGAGAGACTAAAATATTTGGAGATGTGGTAAATACAGCAGTAATTTTCAAACATTATTTAAAAAAAAAGAAAGAAAATCCAATCAAAGCATATATGACTTGATCCAGTGGCTAGTAAACATTGCCTTCATTTTATGGGTTTGTTATGCTTACTGGTCATCCTGGGGGAAATATTTGGTCCATCTCACCTCCACTGTCCCAAAAATGCCTGAAGAAATGTCTTTTTTTTTGCACAAACATGGTCAGACGTTTTTAAGTTGTAAGAAAATAGTCAAAAATGTAATGCGAAAATTGACCAAACTGAACACTAGACTAGAATTTTTGTCGGGGAAAAGTAAATGTATATAAAATGTAAATAAAAGGCGAGAGCATACTTTAAATTAGATGGCTGTTTTAAGATCCACAATGAGTATTTCTTTCAGGTCATTTTCAAACAAGAGGTTTTTATTTAAGTTTTTATGAGGCCATATTTAATGCTTTTAAATAAGTTGACGAGTCTTTTTTGAATGTTTTTATAGCCACCTGTTGAGTATTTAAGTGTTATGCCTGTGGTGTAGACAAACAAAAACAATTACATGAGATAGAAAATAGTATTTATCAGACCATATAAACGAAATTGGATAATATTCCATCGTATGCACAATAATGTGTCTTCTCCGTCCGTCTGTGAAGACTTAAGCAAAACTTGTCTCCTTGCGTTATCATGTTACTGCTGGTAACGTGGTTAGTACAGAAAATGGGTTTACATGGATTTTGACCCGGTTGAATCGACTAAGAAAAACAGTACAGTTTGACTATTAACAATAGCAGAATAATTACATTGAAGTCACAGTGTCAAACTTGTATGTTCAATCTCTATTCCAGTTCTATGGCATATGAAGTATTTTAAAAATTACAGGATGTTAAAGACAGACAGAATATAGGATTCACAGTGAAGTCAAGATAAATGTTGACCTTAACAAAAAACAATAGCGCTGTACAAGTCTTTTCGTTGGATTTTTCAAAGAACAATATTGTGGGATTAAAAATGGCAGTGCTCGGCTGTAAACATACTGAGAAATGCGAATGCTAAAATTTAAATGTAGTTTCAATTACTATCCTTAGCAAACAAACACACGATATTCATATCACAGCAATTCTTATTGTTTATTATGTTCCTGCTAATAATCAATCCTCAAAGTTACACACTGGGACTAATGCGTATTTGTAAATAATGCCTTGGTCCTTTTTGGCGTCATAAGTGTTTTCAAACTGAACAGAGCAAGCTTAGTTATCGTTTATATCCAAACGAAATTAGTAGTGCGTTGCATTAGAACCAGAAGCTTTCAAGACATCCAAACATGTGCTTAAGCAAATGCAAAGGATCTGAGCAGCTGTTTGATAAATAAACCTAGTAAGGAGACGAGCAGCTGTTTGATAAATAAACCTAGTAATTGCGCCTCCTTTCCATATTTTGTGACAGAAAGATTCCGACAGATTGTTCCTGTGTAGTTGTTGTGGTCAATGTCGTGAGAGTGTAAGGCTTAGACGAGTGTTTCGAACCTGTTATTGAGCTAAGCAAATACTTAATTTTGAAAATTCCTGTGGTGCACCACCAAACAAGTGGCCTAAAAGCAGCGGTTCTCAATTATTTTGTCATGCCCCCTCCCTTGAACAGAAATGTTTTCATGCCCCCCCATCCTCTCTGCCTCTGACCCCCCCCCTAAAATATATATATAATGTATATTTTAATATATATTTAATACATGGTAAATATAAAGAAAATATTAACTAGTTCATGACCGTTAACTGCTATTTGACTATACTAGTGGTATTATTCGTCAGAACATTTTTTACATGTTTATATGTAATATTTTTGAGAAGTACTGCCATATATGTTTTAAAATATACTGATCTTGTTTTAATTTACTTGCTTGGTGTGAAACCTGGGACTGTTTAGTTGAACACAGTATCTATATTTGCAGGAATTGAAGAAGCACAGTCATCAGCAGTTGTTTATAGCTATCTGCTGCCACCTTGTGAATCACATTTAATTGGTCTTCCTTTTCACTGTCATATTGGCGAAGAATGACTAATTTTTTGCAAAAAAAATATTTTAATTTAGTGAAATTAAATACTTTTCCACAATGCACCAATGTGCTGCGGCAAAGCTGTTGGCAATCATCGGCTTAGGCGAAGATTAGTGCCGGTGTTAACGTTAATTAGGACGTTAATTTAAGTGTAAAATTGACCTTGTGAATTGGAAAACATCGGGACCATCCCTGTATCCCAGACAACACCAAGCCTTCATAGAAACACATGACCTTAGCAAACATGTTTATTGATGTCATGCACTGTACAATCCATTCTGCCATCTCTGGTTAAACAAAGCTATACATAATTAGGGATGCATGTATCCTCGGGTTAAACAAAGCTATACATAATTAGGGCAGGTGCATGTATCCTCAAGTTCAGTAAGCAAACACAGCACCAGTAGGAAAAAAAAAAAACATCTACTGCCATTACTGGTTTGAACAACATTTCAAATCATGTTTATTTTTCTTTAAAGGATTAGTAAAGGCTGGGAAATATATGTAAGAGAGGGTAATTCAACATAAAGTGCAAATGTTAGCTTTAATCTCAGAAACACGTACAGCATGAACAGACGGTAATGAAGTCTTTAATTAATCAACACTGTGTTAATTAGTCAATGAAGTCCGGCAGGTTAACAGTGTAAGCTCCTTCATCAAACAAGCCTATCTTGAACAATGACAAATAATTTAAAAAAAAAAACTAAAGGTAACAGGATTTAGTAAGGATCAGGAGGGTCAAAGTTTAATGATTAAATTGCACGTCTTCAACTCTACCACGTTAATGTCCATTCTAAGTACTGAGAGACTTCTAGACATTTAAAAAAAAAAAAAATCAACACGGTTAAACGACTTGAACGAAATTCAGCTTTTCCTAAGGCGGCAGAGATTGCATCTGATTGGCTGCTTTAGCTTGCCTGAAGAAAATCTTTTACTGTTAAGAAAAGTGCCCAATAAAAAGACCCAGGAGTCTCAATGCCGTTTAGTTTTTTTTTTTTCCTTCAATTATCACCAGTCCTTACGTTAGCATTGCAAAAATACAATGGCCCTTCGTCTCCTTGCATCCACAATGCAGTCAAAACCAAAGGATTCAAAACAACGTAACAACAGTGTCAAAATGTGAATTTCACAAAAATAAACTGACCACGAGTAGTTAGTCCAATATTTAAAATAAGAAAATAACGATTATGTAACATACGTAATACGCACAGATTATTTTGAATAAATATAATGACCCGTTTCACAGTTTGTTTTCACTTATCCTTTTAACAAATGCGACACGGAAAGAAAAAAAAAATCATTCTTCACGTAGGATCACGATCATCTGCCTATAATCACATCAGAGTCCTGCACCCTGTGTAGTTCAGCGAGAGGTTTTTTTGTGTTTAAATGCATTTTTTATTACGTCAATTCTAAAAGAATTACCGAAATGGCTCATTTTCTGCGAACTCGTGATAAAACTACACTTACGATTGAGGAAGGCTACACAACACTTGCGAAAAAAGAAGCATGGGGGAGAGGGGATCAGAGCCTGACATCACCTGCAGCCTGAGGTGCTGTGAGTATAGGTGTGTGCCCGTACATGTCTCTGTGCAACAAACAGCTGTCGGTGGGTTAGCATATACGCTTGTATGTGTAAATGTAGCCCTTACAGTTGGGGCAGGTGTGTGTCACATCCTTGAGGTCGTCAATCAGACAGGGAATCAAGCAGCAGCCCAGGTCGCAACTGAAAAAGAGGAGCAGGGATAAAGTAAAAAAAAAAAAAATCATTTTTTTTGCTTCTCTTTGTTCTTTATAAAAATATATTCACTGCAGGTGTCTTACATACTGAAGCAGAGCAGCCCTACACTTTTACAACCAGTGTAAAACTATTCTGTTGAGTGTGTGGTTTCAAGCTTGAAACCCGAGAGCGTATTTCTATATTTTGAAAGTTCCCTTTCAATGTGCATGCCTCACTAAGAACTGTGCACAGTAGATAGAAACAGCGGCTTGTTTTTATCTTAACGTAGAGCAAAATTATACTGCATACTGCACAGTACATACTTACTCTAACTCATTTAAGATTTAAAACACTGACTAATTTTGAAAATGAAAAAAAGTATAAAAAATGATAATGGAAATTTGCTACCAAGTGTGTTAATCTTATCTGGTCCGGTTCACATGTTGTTATTCCCTTGTTATTGTGCAATTACTTTATTTTTTGTGGCAAAATGCAGTTTGAATAGTCATCAAGCGTACCACGGAAAATGTCTACGTTAAAAAAAAACGGTCGTCGCATGTGACCCTACTTACCCAACGAAGAAACAGAAGAGGCAGAAGAGTGTGTTCATGAGACCCACATCGTGAGAGATGCGGGTCACGATCGCCTGCTGACAGTGTGGACAAACTGTCTGCACAGGTGACGTCTGGAACATTTCCCCCTGCAGTACGGTCACGGTGGTGGCCCCCCCCGGAGGAGCCAGGACGGTTGCTGTGTGGCCCCCCATGTGAACAAAGTGACTGGAGCCGGGGCCCATGTGTCCAGGCATCGGGTGAGGATAATGACCCGGAGGTGGTGGGTAAATGCCACCTTTTGGGGATAAAACAAAATTGCGATATTGACCCTCTTGTATAAACGTTTCCTGAGTACGTTTCAGGTTGAAGTTTAGCTCGTTTCAAAGTACTGTGAAGATATGTTTGTGTAAATTTCTTTAAAAAAATCTATTCCCATATTTTTTTGGCAATTTTTTATTAACAGGTTATATCTGCACAGGTCATTCTGTTCTCTATGTTCAAGCTTCTCTAAATGTCATTATGGGCTTCGTTAACGGCTAATTTCGGGGTAATCCATTTTGGTCATATATCAACTTTTCTAGACACACCTTGCGGTGGTGGAGGCATCGGCATTGGCATTGGCATGGGTCCTTCTCCAGGGACGTGTGGGGGCAGAAAGCCCGGCTGGTGGCCCTCGTAAGGTGGAGGACCATATTCTGGAGGCAGTGGCTGTCCCAGTAGAGGAGCAGTTGTTATGGGAACTGGTGAGAGAAGACAACAAACACATACATATTATAATGATAACTTCTTGACAGCCATTTAGAGTAATGGAATTAAACATTAATGTGCCTCTCGCGTGTAAAAGCTTGATGCAACTGCAACTCAGACACATCTTTAATACCCTAGGACAGGCTCAGGGGCCAGATGTAACACGTTTAGCATTTTAATTTAGCCCACCAAACTTTTCCAATTTAAGAAATATATTTATACTATCATTATACTTCTGACTTTTCCCTGCAATACCACAGTATGTGTGAGTCAACTTTGCATAACATGTTATTTTTAACCATGGCTAAACTCCAAAGTGTTTCTGTTTTAACTCCTGTGTACTCAATCTGGGATTCATCACCAAAAAAGAGAAACTGCATTTTTGTAACTCTTCATGTTAAAGGAGTGAATAAGCCCCAGGGTCATCAACATTCCTACAATCTTTCACACTCGATTTTATTACCTCTTTGTCCATTCTTCTCATCAAAGGGCGGTGCGTTGGGCCCTGGATATGGAGGAGGAGGATCATTAGACATACTGTCCAGATGTCTGGGTAGGAAGAAGGGCGGAACACACGACTTCTTGCACGACTCTCCTGTGCTTTCACTCTGTGTAGTGAAGAAAAAAAAAAACATTTTAGATGCAAAACTCTTTACACTACGACAAAAGGCTGTAATGAAACTGTTTAAGCAAATGAATGATTGATGACTTAGTAAACAAACACATGCCAACCAACCACATGCCACCCCTAAGCACCACTACCCGCAGGGATATTGAAGCAAAAGATTTACCTTTTACACCTGGAAAATAATGACCCAGTCACGATTTAAGAAACCTGAAAAAGAAATTATTTTCTATTAAGGGCTTTATTTTTGCAAAAACGTAAAAAATAATATTTTTCAGCCTTCCAAAAAAATATAAATCAATCTGTTTTTAAATTAAAAAACTGTTTTGATGCGCGTCTTAAAATCGCTATATTGACAAAATACTTAATTAAAAAAAAGAAAATATTTTATCAATACCAATCAAACGTAAGGTCGGCTAAGGCTATCTTGGCAGATATTTCTTGAATCCTTGGCCAGATTATCTATCCTTAAGCTACTTGTACCACGGACCAATAATAACCCAGTTGTGTGTCTAACTAGAACATGTTTACAGTATAGCAGCGCTATTGTTAGGTTATCTAACACTAACCGTACACAGCTAACAACTGTAGCATGGAAGGCTGTGGGCGTCACTTCGTTCAGCTGACTAACAGGTGTATGAAAATTACCTAAATGAATATTTAATATAAAATCAACAACAGTATAGTGTTTGCTGGTTTGTATTATGTTAAAAGGCTCGTTCTCAAATAGCTTAAAGCTTAGCTTGCTAGCTTGTTGGCTGGCTAAAAAGCTAGCATGACCAAAATAGGCACATGAACTATAAAACTGGAAGAAGTATACGCGTGTAATAAGTAAATACCAAATTAATGACATCCAATAAATAGCATATGTATAACAACGCGACTGCCTATGTTACTCTCACTGAAGATGTTAAACTAAATTAAATGAAATGACCTGTAATGAAGGAAGAGACGCAACGATGCTTCCTCGGTGCAGCTCAACTTAGTTTGACGTTAATAACATCAACATCCGCTCAGTAAGATTAGCTGCTCGTAAATTTACAAAAGAAAACCGTCCAAACTGGTCTAGGTTTTACTTCAAATGTTCATACTCGTTTTTGTTTAAACAAAAATATTCACAGTGTCTATTTTTTCCGATTATCTTTCCAAAAATATTTAAGTATTTTCTTGGTAAAATTTCGTTTTCCATTCCGGTGTGTGGAGCCCGCGATATAAAAGATAAGACACATTAAGTACACATTATAAAAATGTAACTCCAAATTTAAATATAAATCTAATCATGGGTTTTGGTATTTTGGGGATGTAAAGGTTTACTAATATGTAACTGGAATGCTATTTTATTAATATAGACTAATACCAAATCGTGGGCCAATATAGTATTTGTCAAAAAAGAACAAATAGTATTTACTATCCAAACAGTAAGTGTATACTACTATAAAAAGGGGCTAGTAGTCTTGGCCTGTGACAACTGCACCTCAATAAGTTTGGTTTAACAGGAAGAATTGGATTGTACACTTAATTTCGTTCTGTTGTCGTTTTGTCCTCCTATACCAGTAGGATCAATCTAATATTGATTTGAAATTTTTCATCTTGGAAAAAAAAACTAATTGAAATTGAAAAATCTCAATTGAAGGGCAACCTGTCTGCTGAGATTTTTCCACTTCCCTAATAACAGTGCAATAAGATTTTTTTTAATTCAACAAAAAGTGATTTTGTGAGTTAGTAGTAGAATGGGTTGAATTTAAAAAAAAGTTTCTGTAAGAAACTCATGTCGTTTTTTTTTATTTCTAACAAAATAGTAAGGAATTGTTTTAATATTTACTGACACCTAGGGGCTATGATGAGGAATTGCAAAAACATTTTAAGGAAGTGCAAGGTTAAATTCAAAGGTAGAATACACTGTTTGTTTGTTGAACAAATTCTCATAGAAAGTATTACACGATTGTAGTGAGACGTGTAATGGTATATGTTTTGTTGACAGAGACACTATTAAAAATGCAGGATGGGCAGCTGAATGTGAAATTGACACTTTTGCTATGGCTGGGATTGACAGCAAATTAAATGTACTGATCAAAAACAGTTTGAACAGGTTAAAAACAAAAATGTGGCAAGGTGGAGACATTATAGGTGGATTTATTGGACGGAGGATGTCAAAGACGCAGAAGGAAAATGGTAAAGGTGGTGACGGTGACCCCTGGAGGATGTCAAAGACGCAGAAGGAAAAACTGAAGACTAGTGGTAAAGGTGGTGACGGTGACCCCGTTAGTTAAAGCAAAAGAAAGTAAAAGCAAAAGGAAGACGTACTGTAAACACTGTTTTCTAGAATAAAACAATAGTGGTGGTGACTGTGTCATTGGGCTGATAAGAATGGCTAATCTATTCGATAATATGATTCCGTATGCCTGACAGCACACGGATAAAAAGTAAAATATCTACCTACACCCTGGATATAACCTTGTTAAGAATAATATTACACGGGAATCCTGTCATGTCGCTGATTGGGTTATGGTTAGATATAAAGCATGTTGATAGGTTGTAGTTATTACATGACGTGTAATACAACCAATCAGCATTAGAGTTAGGCGGGTCTATCAGCGCATGCGTTCAGCGTATGCTTGGAGACAGCCAATCACGTCCTCTGCCCTCCCTGCTACCTTTGCACAGCTCGACCAAAACAACTGGCCTGTTCCTCTTTCGTCGCGATTTGTTTGTTTGGACTCAAGCGATTAAATAGTTAAAATGACGAATTAAAACCAACCGTTTGTTATTCGTTGGGCTTTAAATTTAATTATAACGTTTTGTGACCCCTAAACGGAGCTTCTGTCGGAGCTTCTGTCGCGACTTTAGGTTGTCTCGCTGGTGGCTAACAGCTAATCGTAGCTAAGCTTGGTGACCCGACAGAGAGAAGATGGGCTCCATCCTGAGTCGAAGAATCGCTGGTGTTGAGGATATCGACATTCAAGCTAACTCTGCTTATAGATTTCCTCCGAAATCCGGTGAGTAATTGACATGTTGTCATGGTTAGATTTATATTATCGCAAATACGCAGACGACGAAGTCGGAAAATTTCCGTCACATCCAAAAGGTATTGCATTCAATACATTGTATTGCAGTCATTTCGACAATCACAACTACTATGATAATCTCTTTAACCATAGGGAAAGGTTAGACTTTGTATACAGTAGCCTTTTCTTTTCTTGTGTTAAATACAACCCTGAAATATTACTGGAAATAGCATTCCTCGTCTTGGTAGTCTCTATACAGTAATGGTGAATGTTTACCCTAATTTAGCACCCTATGATGCTTCCTAAATGCTCTGACCATCTTCTCAGACTTCTGTTACGAAGCCCAAATGAAGACACTGACACAGATGACAGTTAACAGCCTTAATTTTTCTTTACAATAATGTGCGCTACTGTACTGTGGTCAGTCAATAAGGAGAGGCTTGATTACTCCAATTGCGCTCACCTGCGGCCGGGTCTGCATCTGCGTTGGCACTCCCGTGCTCTGGTGTATTTAATGTATTTACATAAAATGTATGTCTTATATTTCCATTCTACAATTCTACTGTGCAAATAATTGTGTGTGGAATTGCAATACAGTCTAGAAAGGGTTGATAATTGTGTGGGGGGGAGGGTTGTAAAGAGTAAATATATATGTAAATAATATAATAATTATCTCGCCCCTGCTTCGCATATTTTCCCTTTTCGCTGCGGGTCTTGGGACGCAACTACCGCAATAGGAGAGGGACCACTGTAAATACTAAAATCTGGTTGAAAATGATGCAGGTTATACAGTAATATAGAGACTTGCAAATTATAAGTGCTTGTCAAGCAATTTTTAACTTAAATAACATTTGTTATGTCAGTCTTGTAAATTCAGATGCCATTTGTAGGTAAATAAACAGCAGAGCATTATAAAGGTGCACATGGAAGATACCAGTGTCTCCAGTAATAAGATAATGCTGTATTGTTTTGTTGTCCCTCTGGATCGAATTGTTATTTACAGACTTTGCAAACTGTTTAGTATTAGACGTAGTAGTAGACTAAATGTGTCTTTTTCATGTTTGGTCGTTGACTCGAATATTAATAATTAGTTTGTCCCTGTAAAAATGTACTTACACAATTTAAAAACACATAGCCCTAGTTACATTTTATAAATGCTGTTGTCATTGGAATTTAATTTGCTGGCACCAAATGACATATAACACTGTTTAACAACCAGTAAACCAGATTTTCTTTTTAAAAGATACAAATAACGATTTAGTCAAAGAACTGTGTATTTTTTGTCTTTTCTGATAGAGGAGCACATTGTGTAATCCATAAAGAATCAGACTTTTTATTGTCACTTGGACTTTAGTCAAAATGTTCTTTTATATGAGTTTTTACAATGAGAGCAGGGACTGTGACAGTAAAGTTATTTTTCCTTCTCTTGATAATGCAGTGTTGCCTCTCTGTATTGCGGTTCTCCTTTCGCTCCCTCAGTACAACATCGCAGATTTTTATATTCCAATTTCATGAGAGTTTCGCTATATTGCGGTATTTTGTGGTAAATCGTTTTTGAATTTATGCTATTTTCATTATTTTCATGATTAAAAAAAATTTTTTTTTAACCTAAAAAAATTAAGCAGTAGCAAAAAATAAACTAAAAGACATCGCTGGTAGCTTTGTTTACCTAGAGGAGATCGAACACAGCATTGAGTATGCTCTTCTGTTCCTCACGCTGATCAGCATCTCCACTACAGTGCGTTGCTGTGAAGTTTATGCTCTGGTGTATTTAATGTATTTACATAAAATGTATGTCTTATATTTCCATTCTACAACTCTACTGTGCAAAAAATTGTGTGGGAAATTGCAATACAGTCTAGAAAGGGTTGATAATTGTGTGGGGGGGAGGGTTGTAAAGAGTAAATATATATGTAAATAATATAATAATTATCTCGCCCCTACTTTGGATATTTTCCCTTTTCTCTGCGGGTCTTGGGACGCAACTACCGCAATAGGAGAGGGACCACTGTAAATACTAAAATCTGGTTGAAAATGATGCAGGTTGGGTGACACAGAATCAGGAGAAAAAGTTAAAGCACAGACAAGATTCATGAATGTACTCGTTGCTTTAGAGACCTGTGACAAAAGAGAAGGAATCACTTAAGAAGGCATTTTATAAAAATGTTCTACCCGTAAAATACTGTACCTGTGTTGGTGTTCATTTTGGATAGGGCTCACAGAGCTGCAGCAGAATGCTCTGACTACCACCCACAGTTGAACAAACATGCAGGATTCAGTTAAACCAAAACCCAAAAAGGCGTCAACATTGCTTTTAACCTGTCAATCTGTCAACTAAACATATATGATAGAATATAATGATTGTGCACACAATTTATAATTAACAAAGTTCATCTCTCTTTCCTCAGGGAACTATTTTGCAAGCCACTTCTTCATGGGAGGAGAGAAGTTTGACACACCACATCCAGAGGGATACCTTTTTGGAGAAAACACGGACCTAAATTTCCTGGGAAATAGACCAGTGCAGGTGAAAGAATTGTATATTTTTTATTCCATATATGTAAAAGTACTCCGAGGTTGAATTAATCATTGTTATATAATTCTTTTTTTTTTTAGTTTCCTTATGTGACTCCTGCACCCCACGAGCCTGTGAAAACCCTGAGGAGCCTGGTCAATATCAGAAAGGACTCTTTGCGTTTGGTCAGGTAAGTCAGTAAAGAAGTCACACTAAAGCAGTGTTTCTCAACCTTGGGGTCACAATCAAACATGGGGAACACCTGGGACTACGCCTAGTAATTGATAAAAAATATTTATATATATTTAATATTTTTTCATCATAAAAAATAAAAAATATTTATATATATTAAATATTTTTTCATTATTATTTTTAAAGTTATAATTAAAAACATCACACACAATCTTAAACAACAGTATTCTTTCACTTTCATAAATATAAATACGAGTTGCAAAAAAGCACCTTAAAAAATATATCTGCGCTGGTGCATCTTGATTAATGGCTGCAATCACATGACTCATGCTTCAATCTTGACACAATATACAAGACAGTATAACAAACATGATCAAAATCTAATTGTAGAAAAAAATATCTCTGGGGTTTGACGAAAAATTGTGATGTCAATATAGGTTCAGGAAGAGACCTTCTGATGTATGAATGCATTTCTCTGTCTACATTCTGCAGGTATAAAGATGACTCTGACGCACAGGTGGAAGAAGGTGCAAAACCAAAGGTCCAGTACGGTGTGGAGTTTACCTTTGACGCTGACGCTAGAGTGGCCATCACGCTCTACTGCCAGGCGTTCGAAGAGTTCTCCAATGGGATGGCAGTGTAAGTGTTGTTATATCGTAATGTTTGTTATATGTCGGAATGGTCACATGGTGATGTGTATGAGTCTTGTTATATTTAGCATGGAAACTAGAAGTTATTCACATGAATTTAGGATTCAAATTCATTTTAGTCAGCATCTAGTTTGACTGGTGCCTCAAGTCAAACACTTTAGAGTCAGATCTTTGTCCATCTCTCTTCCGTCCAGTTACTGTTATTTTATTTACTTAACTTAAAGTCTTCAATGAAGACCAGCTCTGGTGAGACTGTAGCAATCGGTTGATTAATTAACTTAAGGGCCAGATGCATTTATCAGTTCTAGATTCTATTTAATGGTTGTTGTTTTTTTGTTTTATTACATTAGCATGCTGTATGCCAGACTTTAAACTGCTTCTAGATTTTCTCTCTACTATTTCTTGTTTTTCTGTAATGACTGCCTCAAGAACACAAGGATGGACTGAAGGGAACTAACTGAGGAGACTACAATTAATAATTAGCAATTGGCTCTTTTAAAGACACCTTTAAATCAATGCAGTCCACATTTAAAATGGGATACTTGTATGTTTTTAGCTGCTCCAACAGTATTGGAATATATTGGAATATATTGGAATATTAGTGGCGCTTTGGCCCAGAGGCAATGTCATTGGTGTGGAACCCCAGGGTTCACCTCCTGGGCGGGTTCGAATCCCAGTTAGGGAGGATGGATGGATATTGGAATATTAAGTGTTTTGCACTAACCTAATAAATGTTGGCAATTAATTAGGTTAGTGCAAAACACTTTATATTCCAAAACAAATATTAAATTCATACAGTACACGGACAAAAATAGATTTGACGAGTCCCTAGCAACTAGCAGTTGCCATGGATACAACAGATAAGAAAAATGTTTTAAAAGTCTTCACATTTAAATGATAACCTGCTTCTTTCGTTTGTGTGTTTTGTTATTTTTGTAATACAGGTACAGCCCAAAAGATCCATCGATGGTCTCTGAAACTGTGCATTACAAGCGAGGAGTGAGCCAACAGTTCTCCATGCCGTCTTTCAAAATAGACTTCAGTGATTGGAAAGAGGAAGATGTAAGGAGTTTTTTTTTTTTTAACAGTGGTTCTTGGAGGTGTACTAAGAACAGCCAGATACACTAAAGCTATCGTGTTTTGCATTTACACCTATTGTAACTTTTATATGTACTCTCTCTCTCCATAAAGCTGAACTTTGACCTTGATCGAGGTGTGTTTCCCATGGTTATCCAGGCTGTGGTCGATGAAGGAGATGGTAGGTCCTGGGGCTGCATGCTGCTCCTTAACATTTTGAGTTTTTTAATGTCAAATATCACTTAAAGCAGCTCCAGTGAAGCTAATTTAT